ACAGGATGCACACGCTGCTGTATGTTCAAAGATATGGCTACAAGTACGCATGTATCGGAACGTACGCACACACGTCCGGCAAATGTTCGCACTGGCTCGTAGAGTATCAGCAGTGTGGGCTCATAATAACCGTAGAGAAATTGTAGATCAAGCACGTTGTCAATTTTTTCATCCAGTTCTCGTAAAGCTATTAAATACGAGGCAAGTATTGGTGTGCGTGCTACCAAAGCTGTAGGTGTCTTCTTAATAGGCTTTACGTCAGCCAACTCTATTTCGTCTAAACTGTTGTCTTTGCGAAAGGGTAACACCACCAACTGTTTACCATACACCAGCATCACTGCACAACGGGAATCTGGGTCCACGCGTACCATTGGTACAAAATAGCGACCGGTCCAACCACCGCGTACGTCCTCTTCTTCAAAAAAGTGCAAGGACAATGTTTTCAAAGCGTATGTATCCGGGTCATGTTGCATTACAGATAATTTGGCATCTTTAAAACTAATGAGAAGCGCGTCGCGCAACGATCCCGCTAACGAAACGCTCTGCAGGGACATCACATTGCCGTAGAGGGTATAAGTTGCGAGGCATTCAAGCCGCATTTTGGGTGGAGCTCGCAAGTCATTAATATTAAGCAACTTTTGGCGTTGTGCAGCATCAAGATGTGGAAAAATACGATACACTTTGAGTATATTGGCGCCTGCTATGACCAGGTTCTCCTCTGAATTGTTGAAGAAACGACAGCAGATTGAAAATTCCACCCCTGTGGCTGGATGTGACTGCTTACAAAGTGAAAACATGATTACTCAAGCTTACTCGAAGGGAATGCTACAAAATGAACAAAATAGATCAAATTAAATTTATTAAAATCTACAAAAGTTCAGTAAATTACCTCCTCAAACAGCTGTTTGTCTAATTTCTTTTAGACGCACAAACAAAACATTTGCTGCGCTGAGTTCAGTGCACGGACTCTCAATAAGTAGTGCTAGTTTTTACATTTACAAGGAACTGTAAAGTTGGTAGGGAAATCGATTCGAATCGAATGATACAAATTGACAGCTGCTTACTCTCAAATACATTTTAAATTGAAAAAGCGAACTCGGTACAAAATGCCGTCGTAATATGTAGAAATTTCGATTCAAATTTTATTCGATCACGGATGGCATGATTCAGGTCCTGTATTTATTTAAAAAGGAGCTCAGGCCATTACGGAAAGAGTTGGTTTTTCATTTTTATTCTAAGTGTATGTATACACCGCTTTCAATTAAATCTATGTGCTTTCTTGCTGGAAAATATTGGTAGACTTATAGACTTTGTTTGTAAAAATGGTAGAAAGTAAAATACTGGTAAAAGTGGGAATCTCTAGCAATAAAGTGGGGACATCCATGCACTGGCTGGGTTGCATTCTAGTTGAGAATTTGGCAGCACTAATTTCCGCATGTTTATTCGTTTTGTTTTGTTACAAATGTTGACAGATAACACAAAAAACACGTTCTAGTGGGGAATTGGAGCATTTTCAATTTTACGAAATTTAATAAATACAATTATGGAAACTGAAATAAATGGATCTGCAATGGATAACAACAAACGGCGACAAAAGAAAAAGAAGAAAAATAGTAGGTTTCTGCGAAATGCAAAGGGTTTTGCTAAACAGGGTATCTATGGTCGCGGCACACACATCGATGATGATCAGTACAATTATTTCATCAATATATTGGACGCGATGAAAACAGGCTTTGAAGACGTAGAGGAAAAAGGTACATAGGCCTTATTTTTGAATTACCATAGTACATTTTACCACTTGAATTATTTTTAGTCAACATGGCCAATAACGTATTCGACCAAACCAACGAACAAGAAATTCATCTAGCCTCGAATCAGATTGTGTGTAAAGTTCTGGAGTCATTGATTGGTTTCGTGGATGCGGAAAATTTAGAGCGCTTCTTTAGTGTTTTTGCTGAAAATTTCCGACCTATTTGTTCTGATCGTTTTGCGTCACATGTTTTGCAAAAAATGGTGGAGATTGCATTCTTACGCGCTTTGGGGAAAGATAAATTAAAGAATCCTGCAGATGGCGATGATGACGCGAATGGTATCTCATATACGCCCGTGGCTAAGCGTGCAAAAACCGAGGTAACAGCAATCAACGAAGAATTATACAATCTTGAGGCTGACTTTAACTCTGAGCATCGTCTTCGTTGCAGTCAATTTGTTGAGCGCGTGAGTAAATTCTTACTCAACAATTTAGAAGACTTTGTTTGGGACTCATGTGCTAATCACATAATGCGTACTAGCATCCTTAGTTTGGCTGGCGTGCATGTCGCTAAAGTAGCTTTCGAAAAAGGTGGGGCAGATATGGCTAAAAATCGAAAGTTGTACACTGTACCCGATGAGTGGGTGGATGTACTTAAAGAGTTTCCGCAACGTTTAGAGATGTGGCCCCAATTTCCTGATTTTCCCTACCAAGAACATTCTTCAGCGTTGATTGGTATTATTTGCATAGCTCTACGTGCAACCGACAAACAACTCTTGAAACACTTTGGCAAAAAAATATTAATGAACGCATTTCTAAAGGTTGAGCAAAGTGAAGAAGAGAAGAAAAAGAAAATAGAAATATTAGATGATGAAGACGAGAAATCGGCTGAAAACAACAGCGATACAATAGCAGAAGAGGAAGCAAATGAAAAAAGAGAGGAGCCTATTAATAAGATTCAACTCCCAAAAGTATTTGAATACCAATCAGCCGTTATCTTGCTCGAGACATTGCTTACTGTTGCAGGTCCCAAGCTATTCACTCAACTCTATGCCATGCTATTCACTGGACGCTTGGCTCTGCTGGCGAAAGAACCCCTTACCAATTTTGCAGTTCAAAAACTTCTGCAAAATATAAAGGAAAAAGATGATTTCGAAAACGTTTTCAGCGAATTGGTAAACGACGTTGAGGAGTTACTTAAAATTGGGCATACCGGTGTTGTGGAAGCGCTCACAGCTGCCTGCTTACGGGTTGGTGCAAAACAAGCACAATGCATTGTTTCACTCCAAACTGCGCTTCATACACCTGCAAGCGATAAAGTAAAAGTGAAGTGTTTTTTCCATTGTATGATCAAATTGAAGCCATATGAGGTGGCGCAAGCGGACAACAGCGGTTTCGTTCATCTTCATGGCTCATTAATAGTACAGCACATTTTACGCTTCAATAAACCTATTTTCTTGGTCAACTGTATACTGGAGACCCCTCCTGAACAACTTGTGAGCATATTTAATACACCAAATGGTTCGCATATAGTGGATGCATTCCTACAGAGCAAATATATTGGCGAGAAATCACGCGAAAAATTCATTAGAAATTTGGAGGGCTTCTATGTTGACTTAGCTACCACTAAGTTTGGTTCGCGTGTAATCGAGAGCTGTTTTGCGGTCGCACAAGAATCACAAAAGTCGAGAATAGTAAAAGAGCTGGCAGATAAGGTGAACATGTTAAAGGGTTCACCCTTCGGAAGACTACTGTATAATAAATTCCGGGTGGAGACATATAGGTTGTCCGCGACTCAATGGAAGGCGAGTTTGCATGCGAATAAGGAGCATAAGGTCGATAAGCTATTTAAGGATATTATCAATTGAATTTCTTTTAAAAAATAAAACATTTTTTCATTATACCTATTTGTTTTTTTTAGCGTTTTTATGATTAAATAGCAATCATTATAAGTAAAATAATTTAAATCGAAATTAAATAATTATTTGAATTTTATTTTTCAAATAATTTACTACTGAGCTTTATTTTTTACGCTCAATGTTTTTCGATAACAAATTATTTTATGACTTTTTCATTCAAAGACACATATCTATTATTTTTACACTTAAAAATAGTGATTATGTATTTATCAAATTTTGAAGGCCCTACATATGCAAACTCAAATTTTTACCTGAAAGTTTTAGGACATTGCTTTTATTATGGTGTCACTGCATTTGAAAACGATAAGTCGGATATCACGCTAGTACAGCTTTTTTAAGCGAAAAACTAAATCTGAAAAAATAAAAATCATAAAATAGGCATTATTTTTGATAAAAAAAAATCTAAGTCATGGTGGAAAGAATTTCTTTTAAGCAAAAAATGAAACCCAAATATTAATTATTAGCTTTAGTGTTTAATTGTTAAACTAAGGAAACAAAATTATAGATTACAGTAGGACGTACGAATACAAATATGTGAGTTTGGTTAACATTTGGGGTATTCACCACGGTGTCGTAAATGTTGTTGTATGTCGCATATTTTAAACGCCTAAAAATCATATTAAGATGGTTCGCAAAGTACCATCACAGTCATATTATCAGATTTTGCATTGTTAAAGAATAGTTGGTTGTACATTCAAGTTCCCTAAACATTTATTTAAGCTTTTAAAGTTGACGACATACAACAATACGATACTTGCAACACCGTTGTGAATCCCTCAACTGTTTTACGACACTTAAATTTTGTTTTTTTTTTGTTTAAAATTAAAAAGAAAATTATTAAAAATTATTACTTTCGTTCCAGTTAAATAGCACTTTTTTAGGCTGAATTTTTTATACATTTAGAGCGATTGGAATTAAACTTAATTTAATTTAATCAGTAGAAAATTTAATCAATCAGTTTATTTGCAGAATAAGTTACAGACGTGCAAATAAACACTGTACTCATACAAACTTCTACAAACGGTTACCCCGAAAAGTAATCGGATCTTTGCGTCTTCCATTAACGTCAACAGCGTTTGATTAAAAATGTCAAAATCAGCTGTCTCGATAATTTCATTTCAATTGTAAACAAACTCGTGAAAGAATGGATCGGGAAGGTAAACATAAACAAATTTATATTTAATTTATTTCATTACCTTTTCCAAACGTAGATATTAAAAATAAATCGACTGCCAATAATTTAGCTACTAAGAAACTAAGCTCTCCCGATGAAGTTCAAGATGCCCCACTCTTCCCTATAGCGCCCGGTAAGAGCCGTCCCGATTATGGTACCAATAACACCTTAGAGCTATTGGAACGCATTCCCACTGAGGTGGTAAATTTAAAGCTGGATGATGTATTGTCCGCGGTGAAAGATGTAGACAACTTGTGTGATTATCCGCGCTGCAAAACCAAGACAAAGCTTATGGGACAAGATTGCGAACTATGTCGCAAGAGATTTTGTTTCAAGCACGGACTGCCAGAAGTGCACGGATGCGGCGATGCAGTGAAACGAGAGGAACGGGTAAAATTCCTGCATCCTAAACCTGCGAAGACAGTGCGAGCAGAAGCAGATTTGGCGCAGGCAAAGAAACGGCTTCAATCCAAATTAAAAGATATGAAAGTAGAACGTATGCAAAAAGTAAGTGGCGGTCCTCCGATTATGGGCGCTAAAGGTGGTGCAGGTGGGAGTGGAGGAAGCGATGGAAAGGGCGCCAGGCGTAAGAAAGGAAAGTAAAAAAAATTACATCAAGCGTAGTAGAACACATTTCTTAGTTTCAAATCTGTTTTCAAAAATGTTAAGTATATATTAATAAATTTCCTTAAAAAATGTTTCTCCTTCAAACATCAATATTTTGATTTTAATTACACAAGACAACCGAAATTAAAAAACAATGAAGTTGATTTATTAAAGAATTTTTAGTATCAGACGGTTTTCTGGTTTGCGCAATTCCTATCGATCGTACATGTTTTCCAATCGTACTGTACTCTAATCAACTCTGCTTTTCAGCGTCATTTGTTTGCCTTTGACGTTAATTCAATTTTGACAGCGGACGCCAGAAAAGTTTTCCAATTTTAGCGTTTTGTTTTTTCTGCTTACTTTCGCGCAATTTTTGTGAGTTTCCCTTTAAAAACAATAAAAAATTACAGTGCGAAGTCGCAAAAATATAGAAGTACCCACAAATCTCCACGGAAAAGGAGCACGCAATGGATTTCCAATTCGTGCTACCAACAACCAATGCAGAACTGCTGAACTCAAGCGGGGATAGCTATTATGTCAAGCAAGTCTATGCTCCTAATGAAATTAGTGAGCGTTTACGCGGTAAGTACATTTTCGTGGCGGCAAAAAAGTGCTTGCCTTTAAACTGTCGTGTCTTAACTCCATTAGCATGCAAACAGATGGTACAACAAGGGGACCCATTTTACATGTTTGATCATTTCGACACGTACTTCACCATAATAGAAGGTCGCGGTTGCGATCCCGCTACCATTACCAATCTTATGCGTAGCTTCGATCTACTGTACATCACGGTCGACAAACTGGGTCAACGTTTAGCACCGATACTATCCTGCAGCGATGTGGCACAGAGTTTACAAGACCGCCAGAGTTATCTTAATCTCACAAAAATGGCGCTCTTCCTACAAGTCAATACCGTCCGGCGTTTGGATAGTGTAGCTACACAAGCGCAGCAACAGCAACAACAGCAGCTACAACAGAAAAAGCGTGCAAAACAAACTGAAACACTTGAGCAATATCCCGATTGGGATGCAAAGCGGGGTCGTTTTCTCGTACAACTTTATAATATTTTGCAATTTCCGATAGAGAAACTTTGGAATCCACCTGTAGCTGAGGAAAATTTCGTGAATCTCGTTTGTGATATCTGTTATCGCACACTAGAATTGGTACATCCACGCTCTGACAATCGTCATATCACAGATACCGTATTTCAAATATTCGGCACGGCTATAAAACGCTACAATCATGCTCTTACTTTTCCTGTGCGCGTGCTACAAATTTTGCGTACCACCGAGCATGCTGCTGTATCTATTGCAAGTGGCATAAATGTGCTGCATGAAGAGTACGGTATATCCAGCGTTTTCTCGGTGCTAATCAAGGATATTGTAGAAACGTTGACGGTCGATTCAGCCGATACGGCAGTGTCTCGTAACTTCTCCAACTTTTTAATGGAACTGGCTACGATTGCACCCAAGCTAATGATACCTCATCTTTCAACACTATGCGATGAGCTGCTCAATTGCGAATCACACACACTGCGAAATTGCATATTGCAGATTATGGGTGATGCTATTGTGGGTGAACTGACATCGGAAGAGCTCTCTGAGGAATTAAAAGAGGCTAGAAATGAGTTTCTAGAAAATCTATTGGCACACATCAATGATGTTTCAGCCCACGTGCGAGCTAAAGTGCTCCAAATATGGAATAATATGAAGGAAGAAAACGCAGTGCCATTATCGTTTCAACTGAAAGTTTTATGTGAGGCAGTAGATCGTTTGGAGGACAAAACGTCGTCTGTGCGAAAACACGCTGTTCAGTTGATCAAGTCGTTTTTGGAGCGCAATCCTTTTGCAGCGAAGCTTACCTTGGAAGAGCTAATCAAGAAGCATAGTGAGGAGTGTGAGAAGATGGAAAAGTTGAGTGAAGTGCTGGCGGAGGAGCGAAAAAAGGCAGAAGAGCTGGATGAAAAGTGGAATGTTCTGATACCAGTAATATTACCCATTGTAGAAGAGCACCTAAAGGAATGTAAGTAATGAAAATCAATTAAAACCACTCATGAAGTCGATGTGCATTTAATACTTCTTTATTACATTCCAGGCACCGAAGACCTACCTGAGAACACACAAGAAAACTATGAAGACATGATACAACGCATTTCTGGACTTTTGCTAGAAAAAAAATATCGTGAGGCTGTAGTTTTGGTACGTAAAGCTGACCAGGTGGCTGGAAATGCAGAATTGAGGTAAGATTTTGCCCAAGTTGTATTGTAATAATGATTCGACATAAAAATATTAAATAGTGTGTCTTATATTTGCTCACAGGCACACTTTGAAACTGGAAGAGCAATGCGCTTACTACATGGCGCTACTGAAGTCTTATATCTTCTTGGCGAACGGTTGCAAGGATAGTGTAGGTTTTTTTCTAACGCCTGTGAAGGCACTATATTACTCCACTTTTTTTAATCTTTAATAATAGAACGAAGAATTGGGCACCCAAATAAAAACCGTCCAATTTCTGCAAGACTCCATTGAGTTCTCTAAGGTCATTACCAAGGCTGTGCCGAAAATACAAGAACTGCTGCTCTCAAAAACCAATTCAGATGTATTTGAAGCCGTTGATCTCTTCACCACTGGTTATATGTTTGGTATAAAAGGCACTGAAGGTGGTATGCGTCGGATGTTGTATCTGGTTTGGTCCTCGGACAAAGAGAAGCGTGATGCTGTTTCTAACGCCTATAAGAAAGTGCTATTTACTACCGACCAAACTGGCAGGTAAGCGGGAGAGGAAATGTTAAACTCTTTAATATTTTTCCAATCCCCCTATTTAGAGCTCATGCCATCAAAGTGATTCAAAATCTTATGCGCTTCCTTGCGGAACTCGAGTACGGACATTACACCGCCATGGAGTGCTTAATGCGCGAATGGGTTTCCACTGATGATATTGATGTTGCCATCATACAAGTGCTTTTCGAGCGCTTTACTTTGAAATTAGAGGGCACTTCCGATAATGAATCGCGCCTAGCACTCCAATTGCTAATAATGGCCTCAAACGCCAAGTCGTCTATTGCATCGGCAAACATTAATGTCATTGAAACCATTGGCCTGGGTGATCGCGCCAAATCTGATCCACGCATTTATACTGGTTGCATGGAGTTTATGCTGACCTCGATCGATTCAAGTATTCATTCAAAGTTCTACAAACGTTATGAGCCTGATTCGCAGCTTGTACAAAAAGTCACTGATTTATATCAGCAATTTTTCTTTCATCCCGGCGTGTCGGATTTTGATAGGCTGACAATGCGAACCCTTGAGTTCTTCTTTCATCTGTGTCAAACGCCAGATGTGATTTGCCAGAAAATCGTTGTTGCTTTACTAAAAAAATTCCGTGACTTCGCTGTATGCACCACGGAAATTACACCTTCACAACAAGCGCATTCGCTGGAAACGCCATTTTCGCAACAAATACCAGAGAGCCAGGCGACAATTCGTAACTCCGATGCCATGAACGCCCAGCAACAGCGCATGCCAGTTTTCCTGCTGACGCGTTTTCTCTTCACCATTGGCTACATGACGCTGAAGGAAATGATTTTCCTCGATATTGATGTGTACAATAATATGAAGTTTCGACAAGAGCTAACGGAATGTGAGGAGAAGAAAAAAAAGAACGCGTTCAATACGAATAGACGTAAGACGGGTAATTTGAATATGTCTGCAACCGAGTCGTTGAAGCGATTGTCGGGCACAGCTGCTGAACCACAACAAGAGGTAAGTGGGCGGAAGAAACGAAATTGTTTTTTACGCTGAACGTTTCCCGTTTTGAATTCATATAAATCGACTTATATTTTTCAGCCCGATGAAGATCTTGTTGGTGCCACCGCTGAAGATAACATCGCTGAGCTTATCAATCACATTTGCGAGAATGTACTTCTCTATTCCGAAAATGCACTGCTTGCAAAAATATTTCCCTATGTTATGGAGATCTGCAAATACCCAGTGAAATATCGTGATCAGTCACTGCAGCAGGCTGCCACGCTCACACTTATACGATTCATGTGCGTTTCCTCGAGCTTCTGCGAAGCTAATATGCCATTTCTCATGAACATCTTAAGCCACACCAAAAATATTAAAATTAAATGCAATATTGTAATTGGTTTATCTGATCTAACATTCCGTTTCCCCAACATAATCGAGCCATGGACGGGTCACTTCTACTCGACGCTGCATGAAAAGAATACAGAATTACGGCTCACAGCAGTGAAGATGCTTTCACATCTTATTCTGCATGAGATGATACGCGTTAAAGGACAAATTGCTGATTTGGCAATGTGTATTGTAGATCCTGATGCGGAAATTAAGAACATCACTCAGCAGTTCTTCAAAGAAATTGCCAACAAGTCGAATATCCTGTACAATGTATTACCCGATATCATATCAAAACTGAGCGATATTAATTTGAATTTGGAGGAGGAGAAGTATCGTATCATAATGCGCCACATACTGGGTTTGATACAGAAAGATCGCCAGGTAGAAACGTTGGTGGAGAAGTTGTGCTTGCGTTTTCCGGTGACGCGAGAAGAACGTCAATGGCGCGACATCGCCTACTGTCTCAGCTTGCTCTCCTACAATGAACGCACCATCAAAAAGTTAATAGACAACTTACAGCACTACAAGGATAAGGTACAAATCGACGAAGTATATCAGTCATTCAAGTTGATCATAAGTAATACGTCCAAAATGGCTAAACCCGAATTGAAAGCTGCCGTTGCGGAATTAGAGACGCGCATCAATGAGTGTCTCGAAGTAAATGACGGTAAAACGCGTGAAGATAAAGAAGGTGGTGGTGGTGATTCGAGTACTGGCCGCGCCGAAACACGTAGTAAACGCACAAACATTAAGTCGCGAGGTGCTCAACAAGCGCGCGGCGGACGCCGTGAGCGACGCGGTAAATCGTCTACTAGCGAATCGAGTAGCAGCAGTGATGATGAAGCGCCGCCAACACAAAAGCAACAACCGCGTAAAACGCCAGCACGCTCTGTCCAACAAAAACAACGAAATCGAGCGGCAATTGTGGATTCGGAATCCTCGTCAGAAGAAGAGACTGCCCAACCAGCGCACAGTGGACGCAAAGCAGCGTCAGCGGCGAGTGTTAAGAGCAGACAAGCTGCAACCGCTTCGAAATCAAGTGTGACCGAAAATAAATCGCGCACTGGGCCACGCAGTAAAGTCATCGAAGAATCTGCCAGCTCGGATGATGCGGAGCAACAACATCCGCAGCGCAAGCGCGGACGTGGCAATCGAAAATGAACTGACTGAATCCATAAACGACATATTCTACAAATATAATTATTTCAATATAGTTTAGTAACTAGCAGAAAACCTAAAATACATAGGTAACTAAACACAATTCCTACAACTAGAATAATCATATAATTTTTAATTCATCTTCACTGTTTAGAAATTAAATAGAAAATAAATAATATTAAAATCCATGCTCGTGAAAATCGTAAAAGGTCTAAAAGAAAGCTGACCTCATGGGACATTTTTGATATGAAAACTAAAATACATTTAATAATATATTTGCACTAATTTTTGTATAAGGATACGCTACTAACCAAAAAATCGTAAAACAAGTTGAAAATGCTTCGCCATTGCAACATTAACCATATCGCAACGAACACCTCAAATCATATTCACATCACACCGTGAAATCTGATTGCTCATCATGCATCATATGATTTAATATCACATCATATGCAGTTTTAACATCACTTGATTTTCCTTCATGTCAGCGAAAATTAAAATTTTCCATACATGTTTTATTCAGAAGTAGGCATATCACATCACGTCCTATGATCACACTCCCATCACTTGAAAAGTATAAGCTACAATCAACTTGCGACATCAACTACTACATACTATCAATACTCTTTAAGACCTATTTGCCAATCAACTTATTCATACTGCATACATTTCATCAAGTGAAATAACCATCAAAATTATGTGATTTACATGTGATAAGGTGAGTAGTTTTAATACAAATTTCTTAATTGTTATTGCTACATTGTTGAATGAATATTTAAAAATGTATCGTTTGTACTGTACTGTCTTATATTTTCTATTTTATTTATTTGCTAATAAAGCATTTTCAGTTTAAATGAAAGCATTTTCAAGTTAAGGGCAAACCTAAAAAACAGGTGCCCTTTCAAAATAAAAAGTTAAATTTTTTGATTTGTGAGCACACCTATGTTTTATATATGATTCTATACGTAATCTTTTGATAAATCGATAAGTATAAGTGTAATTCATTTTCATCAAGTGCTTCAAAAGTTAGACGAGGAATAAACATTTAGATCGCTGAAATAGAAAAAAAAAATTTGTTCAAATTACGCTGTACAAGTTAAGTTGTTACTTTTGAGCAAAGATTTTGAAAGTTGAACCCACTTAACTGGGACGTTCTAAATGCAATGGCATCCCCCGTTTTACCAGATTGGCTCCGGTTTTCGAGATAACGGAACTTGAAAATTGGATTAAATTTTAACTATTTTTTAAATAACTCCCTCAGTTTTGAAGTTAATTTAATGAAGTTTTGCATATAACGGTTTTTTTGCCTTAATGATTCCTTAAAATTATCGATATAGGTTAAATTTAACATATACATAGCTCCAATACAACGGATTACTCAGGTATGTGTGTTTGCTACATAACTGTAAATTCATATCTGAATAATAAATTGTATGCGTGCTATATGTTAAATTGAACCTATACTAAATTTTTTTCCTGCTTAATTGGAGCAGTTATAACGCAGAACAACGTCTCTGATCAATCAGTTGTATGAGAGCTAGATGTTATAGTGACCCGTTTTTGATGATTTTATGGAATAGTTAAGGTAATATTAAAAACCGGAAATTGATCCAATTTTTTTTTTTGAAGCTTCAAGTATACGTTTATGAATTGGTATAGTTTACAACAATAAAAATAAAGCTAAGTAACCCAAAGGTTACCTGTTTTTTGGACTTGCCCTTAAGTGAAATATTTTTCGAATTAAATGAAACTATTTCCAGGTTCAATGAAAATTTATTTAAATTAAAGGAAAGTATTTCCAGATTCTGTGAAACTTTAAACTAATTTAAATGCAACTTCCTTTTTCCGTTTACTGTGAATTCGCTGTTATTCATTTAGGCCCACAAATTCCATTAGCTTTGCTCCCCAGAGATGATAGGCCTAAGGTGGTTAACTTTGACAGGAAATTCGAAATAGAGCTTTGCACCAAGTCAATTTGAAGCACCTGTCTCATGGAGAGGTATATACAAGCGAGCTGGTTGCAATGGCATACAGACGGATCCAAAACACTGGACGGCATTGGGGCAGGCGTCTACGGACCAAGGCGGGAGCTCTCCGTACCGATGGGGCCATACCCGAGTATCTTTCAAGCGGAGGTCTATGCCATTAGGCTGTGTGCAGAGATTAACCTACCTAGAAATTACCGTAATGAGAAAATTTCAATATTGAGTGATAGCCAGGCGGGAAAGGTACCTAGACCAACTCTGGTCAAGTGAAGAATAAATAGAATCTCCAGGTGTTAGGAGATCTAAAATTTTCGGATTTTCTAGGATTAGATGAGGTACTGTAAATAGTTGAGGGCACAATAGATCTCTTCGTCGCAGTGCATACCTCTATTATCTATATATCTACCAGGTAATTTTATTTCGTATGGTTTCCGATCCGTGAACGGATGCTACGAGTCGAACCCAGGATTTTATTTTAAAAGGTCTTCGAAATTTCAAATGTGTGATTAATTTAAAAAAATTAATTTAAATATGTAAAATTTTTATCCTTTAGTATCCTTGCACATTTGCAGTATTTATTTTTGAAAAAATTACGGGTTGAGAATTAATATACACACGACCAAATCCTCGAATTTCGTCTTCTACTTTAATAGCTAAAAAATAAAAACAAAAGAGAATTTTCAATACCAATTCGCCCTTGTGAACCAAAAAATTCATACATATTTTTAAATTCCAAAGATTTTTTTGCTATTCTATATAGATTATACTGATCCTCAGTTTCATACATCAATTTTAAAATTTATCAAACTGTTAAAATTTAAAATGACAAATTTTCCGAACAATTTTGTGCCATTTTAAATTTAAACGGGCTCATAAATTTAAAATTGATAGGTGCAACCGGGCATGCATTTTTTAAATATGTTTTGGAACTAATCATATCATTGAAATTTTAAAGTCAATTAAAAAAATTATGACCCCAGAGAGAAAAACTTAAAACGCACTTTTACTAAGTATATGTAGCCCGTAGTTTCGTGGGTATATTGACTGTTTCGAGTGCTTTTAAATTTTTTGGGTTTTGTTGCACGGTGTAACAATTTAATAAAAACATCGATGTATTTTTGCCACTGACATTCCTATAAGTCCCTTTACTTTCATGAAAATTGGTTATTTTTCCTTGAATATATCAAGTTATTTAGAGAAAAATATATAAAAAAGATTGTGTTAAAACGTTATATGGAAGAAAATCGGTAACATCCTTGGCAAAAAGAAACCTTGAAAATTATTTTTAGCGACTTGAAACTTGCACTTTAAAATTTTTTACAATTGAATAGGCTACAAAACTGCACAGTAAATTTTTTTCTATAAAAAATAAAAATTTCTATGAAAATTTATTGGTACTTATTGCATTTTCCCGGGTTCTGTGCAAAGTAAAAAAATTGATTCTTGCGGTTTTTGCTGTTGAATGAATTAAATTTTTTATAAAAAAAAATTAGAAAAATTTGCTATGGTAAATACAAATAAATAAAATCGTCAAAACGTCAGGGTATGCAAATTATTATTTTTTTTTATTAAACATCTATATAATAGCCGAAAAGATGGCTGGAACCACAAACTGAAAAAAAATAACAAATCGCAAATTTTCTCTTTGAAAGTACTACATGCATGCTAAGAATATTTTAACCAAAATACAAAAGTTACTGCAGTTAGAAGCGCGCGTTCAAACTATCAATTTCATATCTGCGCCACAGCAAAACAAAAATATATTTTTAAAAAATTTTTTCGACCGTCGGGAATGCGTAACTACATACTTACAAAGCTTTATAAAGGACATTTTCATACAATATTTTTTTAAAGCATTTAAAGTCTTCTTTCTTTTTCAATGAGTTTGGTTATTTACATATATTTACTCGCAATATGTATCCATGTACATATGTATGAACATTCGTATCTATGTATGTACATACAGTATTGGACATATCTATAGCACCCCCCTTTCAAAGCGATATTGTTTGCCACTTATGTTTAATTATTTGTTTTTAAGAATTTTCAATTAAAATACTGTTCATTTTCCAACAAGACCCATATAAACCAATGTTTTAAACTTTTTAAAAGACCGCAAAAAAGTGCAACAAACTTTGTCTCGTTTGCTTCCATATAACGACTAAACAATTTATTTTTATATGGCAGAAACCCGCAACATCCTCGGCGAAAAAAATTCTAAAAAATCAACGGTAATTTTTAGCCACTTGAAACTTGCACATTATCAGACTAAAATTGAATGGGCTATAAAACTGTGCATTCAAAAAAATTCTACCGCTTCTGAGAAAAAAGTTTGAAATTTGGGTGAAAATTTGTTGCACTTTTTTGCGGTCTTTTAAAAATTTTTAAACTTGAGTTTATGTGAGTTTTGTGAGGGAATGAACTGTATATTAATTGAAAATTCTTAAAAATAAATAAATAAACATGAGTGGCAAACAATATCACTTTGAAATGGGGGTGGTATTGTATTGGCCAATACTGTATATAAAAAAATATACCATACTCCTGTAGTCATTCATCAATTCAAAGCGTCTGTTCTGTGTTAATTAATCCGCCAGCCAAAGTCAAAATATTATGAAATGTGATACAGTGTAGCACAGCAGCAGCCGGGTTGAAGAGGGGGTGGGGTGGTGGAAGAGACATGTGCACCAGCTATTACTCGCCGCTAAAGACGGCTGTTGGTCTACACGTGCCAAACATTAGGTGAATGTAGTTAGGCTCGCAGAAATAATTGTATGTTTGTATAAAAAAAAGCGGACCAACAAACCATTTCGCCGCCGCAACCAGCGCACAGCCACAAACAAGCCTCAACTACAACTGTGCAATCAACCGGAGTAGTTGGCAACACAACACGACACTTGCTAGCCAACCAGCGTGCCGCATTTGGCACTTAATTTGACAGCATAATGGTAAAAAAGGGAAGCATAATGGACCGTTAAGTCTTGAATACTAAAAAAAAGTGCAACTTTAAACAACAAACCCAAGGATAAGGTGAGAAATCCTGCGAAATTTACTGCACTAGATGGCGTTGCCAAGGACGACACGCCCTCTTATACGCACTGGCGCTGTGGCTTGTATTCTGGTTTTTGTTGTGCTCAAAGTGAGTCTACTACACAGCCATTGCGGCCAGTTTCATAGCAACCCTTTAATGAGATTCGCTAACATCGTTCGGTGCAAATTACATAAATGCGATGGCAGGATACATATGCGCATACATACATAAATATTAGTGATGTGCTGAATTGTCGATACCCCATACTCGCTACAAAATACTTCCTTTTCGGTATCCAATACCGTTTTTTTACACTAAATCTTCGCCGTTACATATATGTATGTATATATCAAGTTTAGAAAAAAATTTGTTCAATACTATTTTGTATGACATCGGCTAGGTTCAAGAAAAATGCTTTGACGGATGAAGAAGCCAAAAAAAAAGGATGAAGAAGAACAAAAATGCTTCAGACAAGTAAGAGTTCCTCTGCATTTGGGTACCGAGTATCGATAGAATTGTATACTTTTTAAATCGGTACCACCGACTATCGATCAATACTTAAAAGTATCGACTCGGCACATCACTAATAAATACATATGTGTGGGAAATTTGAGTTGTATGCTCTCATATCTCATTTCGGTTGAATTAATTATTGCATTTGTTAATTTCTATGATTTTTGTTTGTACGAATAATCATTCCTTACCTGTGACA